AATAAATTATGTTCTTAAAAAGAAACCAAACTTTAAATTTTACAAAAACAAATAAATAGAAAATTTTTTATCGTCAGATGATGATATATTGAAAGAGCAGCAACTCTTGGATTTGAAAAAACCTGTTAATTTAATTACATATGTCATACAAAAAATCATTTTAAAATGAACATAAGGACTGGAAATGTTGTCTGTTAACTTCGAAGTACTTTAAATCAAGGTTTTACTGTAATGATAAGTTGGTATTATTAACTTTTTTAATCATTGTCAATGCAATGTTTAAAATTAACAAACATAACATTTGTACTTTTTAATGAGGCATTATTATTTTTCACTCTATAATATTGACAATTTGCTTTTAGTTTGCTTATTAAAATTATGACATTGTTCTATGACTCTGCTGTAGAAATACAGTCAGAAAACTGATAGAAATGATCTTGTTATTTGTCTTATATTCATAACTTTACTTATACTATTCTATTTTAAAGAATATAAACAGATTATTTATATATATACAATAAATAAATTTTATATTAAATTGCTAAATATATATGAGAATTGTAACTTCATAATTATAATAAAAGATTCCAAGTTAAGCTATAGGAATAAAATATCATTCTCTATCTCTATAACCATTATAGAATGAAAATGAACGTCAATAAATAGTATATCTTATAAAATTTGAGAAAAAGCTAAAAAAACATGTAAAAGCTGAAAATGTTGTACACAAATTTAAATTTGTAATTTTTATATTAATGCTTTTGCAATCTATTTTGAGCATTTTGCACTCACCAATGGCTGAGTGGATAAAACCATTGAACATTGGTAGTTGGTTGTAGATTTGCACCTTGCCAATGGCTGGCCACATGAAGTTTTTTGGGTTTTTTTTTATGTTTGTAATAATTAAATAAGGGCCAATTTCCCAAAGTCCTGGAGGCATTCCCCTTGGGAGATAACCCATGCATCATATTGCCATAATCAAATAAATCTCTTTTGGACATTTCATATGAAAGAATAAAAATAAACTTGTGCAGATGTATCTGTTGGGAAGTATTTTCTGTAATACAGCTTAGATAAATTTCTGATATGGTCTTTTTAAAAGTAAATAAAAAAAGAAAAGAAAATTTAAAATGATTTTTTTGTATTAATATTAAAAGAATTGCATAATAATAATTAACAATATTTATTTTATAGCTTTTCATCAAAGCTTTTACAGCTGACAACAGTGCAAAGAGTCTGTTAATTGATGAAAGAATGACTGTTGGTCATGTTTGTCATCTGTTAGCAGAGAAAAACCATGTTGTTATGGATACAAAGTGGGCAATTGTAGAACACATTCCAGAACTGTATATGGGTATGTTTATTTTTGCATTTAGTTTTATAATTTTACATATTTAAATGCTCTAAAATTGATTTTTGAAAATTCTCTATTATCTTACAAATATAACATTATTGTAGATTGCACTCTACTGGAATATAACTTAACATGATTGTTAAAATTTAATTGTTTCTTATATGTTATAAATTAAGCATGTAAATAAGCTGAAAATATATTTTAGAGTCTGATCTACCAGATTTCAAAACTTCTATAATTGTGGAATAATTTTTAGTGTAATTTGAAATGATTAGTTATCCATTTATTAATGTTAATGTATAGCATTTTTAAGTATTCTTGGTAAATGAATAATTGCTACTGTTATTATTATATATTTAGTATTTTAAAATATTAATTAATTAATCATAAAGAGTCTAGTTTATATTAGACTACTGTAGAAAATAATAGGAGTTCCATAACATTTGTGTGAAATATGTAAAAATGGAAAATTGAAGATATTGTATTCTCACTTTCAGGGAAGTGGTGACAAAAGAGTTATAATATGTTCACTTTGATATCATTAGGTCTATAAATTTACTGTTAAGAGGAGGAAAAAGTATGTTCTGAAAATAAAAGATGAATTATTAGAAACTTTCAAATAATTTAAGAATAAATGTGAAAAATAGACAGAAAAAAATTGTAAAGGTATTACATATAGATAATGTGATGATAGAAAATTCAATAACTTTTTGTTATTGCATGGGTAATGTAGTCCCCAATAGTAAGGAAAGGTCATATTCATGAACGTCTGAATCTAAGTATTTGCTTATCCAAATAGGTCTGCCAATGAACATGTGGGATAAACTGTAAATATAGAAAATGTATTGAGAAATAAAATAGCTACAAGAACTTTATTTTATCTGATGTTTTTATTAATGTCATGAATAATCAAGAACCTTTTCCAAAGTTAAAGAATATGGATGTTTTGTTTAGATGAAGTATTAGAAGAAAGACTAGAAGACTAACTTCAGGACAGAGTTTGTTTTCTAGGGTTTTGTTGGATATTTAAACCATGGAAATGGCTACATTATTTGAGATTGTGAACAGGGCACTTTTTCATTATATCAAGGGATTTATTATGATACCTCATTTGATAATGAAGAATATTCTGTTATCTGTTATCAGAGTATTATACATATAACAAGCATAATAAACGAAGTTCACAAAAGCAAAGGAAACATAAAAAAGGTGTGTTGTCTTTTGGCAGCATATGCAATATATTCTGTCATAAGACACACACCCAAGACAATCTAAATAAGAAACAAGGATCCCAAAACATTAATAGAAAATATGCATTCTGAAGAGAATTGGAAGACAGCTATAATATGAATTCTATATTACTACTATGTATATTTACTAAAATGTATATTTACTAAAAATATATATGGGAGTCTTGTATATTTATTACTATACAATGTATATTTACTAAAAATATACATGAGTAGTAGTTCTTTACTTTGAGGGAATACATACCATAGGTTTGAAATGGATATTCAAAAGAAAATATGAAGGAAACATAAAATACTGGTAATTCAAAATAACATTAATATGGGAAATTTTCAGCAGATTTCTTATTTGGAATGTAATGAAGTATTTGCACCTACTACTAGACTGAAGTAATTAAGGACTATGCTTTCCACAGTTGAAAATGAAAAATATGTCAGTTTAATATTACAAGTGCATATCTGAATGGAGATGGATGGTGGTGATGCAAACATTAATAGATGAAACTACGTATAAACTGAAGAATGGCTTCATAAAGACTCCCATTTTTTTTACAATGGCTTGAGGCAAGTAGAGACAATAAAATGATACCAACAATGCATTTCCCCCCTTCAACTGGATTACTGCAATTTAAGGTTGAATCATAACTAATTTTCTACTCATTTTTGTTGAAGTAAACAATCATCTACACACACTCTGTTCCCGAGTTCGTGTGTAGATGATATTTTATATACATACATACATACAGTCAGTTCGTTTCAAAATTATAAACACATCCAACTTTTTTCAATAACAAACATTAACAATAGTAATGTATTTATTATATTAGTATGTTGTTTACAACACCAATTTAAACATTTTCTGAAATTTTTAGAGCTATCTGACAATTACAAAAAAATTATCACAGATTTTCAAATGTTGATTGTTTCAAAAGTATAAACATAGGTGCATAAAATTAGTATGATCATTTGTTTATTAATTATTGGTTTAATTAGTTTTAACCAGAAGGTAGTATCATTCATTATTACAAATGCAGCACCAATTTTAAACAGTTTTTTGTGATTTAAAACAATGCTTCGTGGAAAAACACTAACAGAGTTGGAAATATGTGAAATTTACCAACTAAAAGGACAAGCTCTAAGACAAATTTTGGCAGCTGTAAATTGATCTGCATGTGCTGTGAGAAATGTGTTAACTCAGAGTGAAAATTATGTCAGAAATAAGAAACGTAGAAGGCCTAAACTCCTTACACTTAGAAATGAAAGAAAGGTTTTTCGGCTACTGACGGTCAACAAGTTGTCTGTCATAGAATCAACATCAACATTGCCAACTGCAGTTTCACCAGCAACTGTATACATAATCATAAAAATGCCAAATTTACAAAAATGGCTGCCAAACCAAAATGAACACAATTTCATAAAACAGCTAGATTAAAGTAAGCCAAAGACAAGATGGCATGGAAAGAAGAGTGGAAACAAATAGTCTTTTTAGATGAAAAAAAAAAAAAATGGAATTTAGATGGACCTAAGAGTTATAGTCACTACTGGCATGATTTGAGGAAGAACAAAGAAGTCAAAATGAAAAGACAGCAAGGTGAGAGCTATATGATGGTGTGGGCAGGATTTGGATGGGGGTAAAACATAGTATTTATAGAAAGTAGAATGAATTCAGAAAAGTATCAAGAACTGTTCTATCAAAATCTAATAACTTTTGGATCACTTATTGTGCAAAAAACTGACAATTCCAACAGGATAATGCTGCCATTCATGCATGAGAGTCAACTAAAAATTGGTTTGCTGACAAAAAATTAATGTAATTGATTGGCCATCATGGAGCTGTGATATGAACCTGATAGAGAATGTTTAGGGCATTATGAGTCATCTTGTTTATAGTGAAAATAGATAATACAATACTGTAAATGCACTGAAATTATCTATCATGGATTTTTGGAAAAATATTAAACAACAACAACTTCAAAAACTAATAAAATGTTTGCCTGACAGAGTATTTGAATTAATTAAATCAAATGGTGGACCTACAAAATATTGAAACATCACAAATTTTTTTATGCACCTGTGTTTATACTTTTGAAACAATGAAAAATTAATTGTTAGATATGTCTAAAAATTTCAGAAAATGTTTAAATTGATGTTGTAAACAACATAGTAATATAATAAATACATTATTATTGTTAATGTTTTTGTTGTTGAAAAAAGTTGGGTGTGTTTTGTTTTACAGTTTGTTTCAAAATTATAATCAGATGTAAATATACAAATATTCTGAAATCCGGGAACACTTCTAGTTGCAATCATTTAAATGTAAATACAAGTTAAAAATCCTTTTATTCTATTATTAATTTTGAATCTGGAAAATAATAATAATAATTATTATTATTAAATAGAAAGGATATTTGAAGATCATGAAAATTTAGTTGAAAATGTCTTGTTATGGACCAGAGATTCGACAAATAAACTTCTGTTTCTTCAGAAAGAAGAAAAGTATGACTTATTTCTGAATCCAGAGGTAATTAACAATTACAAATTCCTATTGAAGAATTTTAATCTTAGTATTACATAATAATAATATATACAGGTAACCCCCGTATAACACGACACTTNAAATTAAATTATGGAGTATTTAAACAATAATAAATTTGTAAAACATAAATATGAGAAAATAACAAAAAAAAAACATAATGTCCGCGGGGTGGCAACATCCATCACCCCACCATCCAGGTGGACCTACAATGGTGCATTCACTGATGATGATGTGACACCACTCCTGCTTCCATAATCTTTCCACACAAAGCCTGCTTCTATGTATACCATCATGATGGTCATATCCATGTGTGAAGGCTCCGAGAGGAACGATTCTTTCTAGTTTACATTCATCATCATTTGCAGGCCCAGCACCATTGGATACACATCCCAGTCATCTCTTGTTCACATAGTCAGTAATTTGGACAGCTACTGTTACATTTCTGATGTGCCCTATCTTTTAGGCTTCTGTCATACTGCATGTGTGCACATAAAAAAAAAAACAGTCTTTCTTATAAATCATTTTTTACAGCAAACTAAGTAGAGATATAATTCAGACAAAAAACTGTTAAAAAAAATACATTTTACTGAAATTACTGATAAAATATGTTTTCAAATAGCAAATATTTCAGTTACTTTTCATTAAATATAGCTAATAAAATTAAATGCTAAATCTTATGTTATTTGAATATTGCTTTTCTATTTAATTGAACTGAAAATATAAGTTAAAATTTAAAACTGATTAATCTTTCTCTATGTATATATACTAGGACATTTAATAAGTAATGCACATAAACCTTGAGTATGAAAAAGATCTATTTTTTTACAAATCCAAATATACTACATTATTTCTCAATTAATTGGCTATAAGTACCCTTATTCCACATAGTCTCCATTTAAATCTATGGCCTTGCGTTACCTAGATGCCAGTTCGGTACCACTCAGCTGGTCTTTCTCTCAGCCACTTCCTGATGTGCAAAATAACCTAAGTGGTGGATAATTGTGTTAGCACTAACCACAGAGATGCCTAGTTGAGTAGCAAGTTGGTTGTTATTCACCTGATGTTTCGAATAAGCCTATCAACTTTCTCTGGAGGCATAGCAGCATGTGGCCATATTGAGTGTGGAAGATCTGACAGTCTTGCTTTACCTTGTTCTGTTGTTGACACTAACCCAATGACTGACAGTACTCCTATCCACTGCTTCATCCTCGTAACCATCTGTGAATGTTTGAGATGGTCTTGTGCTTCGCAAAAAGAAATTTAATCATGGTTCTCTGCTATGTACATGTCTCAAGTGCAGCTGCTATTTTAAAACTAAACTACACTATACTACAACCACCTAACGGAATTAATGGAAACTTTGTGCTGTTATACAATTGTTAAAAATACGTTATGCAAAGTTTCATAATGAAAGTCAGCCAAGAAATAAAATTATGTGCATTAATTATTGAATGACCCTCATAGATATACTTACTACAGTCGACCCCCCTATAGGATATAGATACGTTCCAATTTATTAGGAATCCGATTTCTTACAAGTTGTTCCAATCACAGCCCGACACATGTCAAGTTTACGGACTACGGCTGATTGAAAGGTTTTCTTCCATAAAATTAATCGATTCTACACTAATCCGACTCAACATTTCCAAAATACGTATATTTTTTTG